TTTTTGTAACCCTAACTGATGCAGTTAGTCATTTCTTTAATGTTTGTTCTTTCTGATGTAAAGTCCAGGTTGTAACTGTTTGCAGTAAAGTCGTGGGGCGCTGAACTGTTCCTTTGAATCTTGAATTTTGATACATGATAGTAATTACTTGTCTTTCAAATTTGAAGGAGGGTGAGCAAGCATCTTGAGGAACATTCATCATTAACTCCTCCAAAAAATATAGTTTATTCAATAATAACACTGAATATGTGAATCATAAAAGGGATTGACAGCTGATAGGAATAATATGATTGTTAATATGATCATATGCATACAGACACACATCGATGAGACAGTTAATTAATGTACTTATTGCAGCAGTCTGCATAGATTTGGTACCCCTGCTGGTCTAAGAGTGAGACAAACTCATTCAGTTAAAATTCATTCAATTATGTCTGCCACCTTATATATTTATATTTAAGGCTGTGCCACAATAATGTCACCAAATGTTATTGAGTTAAAATATTAATATTGTGGCTTTCCAAGTTAACATTGATTGATATGACTGCGATTAAATCAGCATATACTTCTGCCAGGGGATGCCACCCCTCAAAATCTCCTGCCACCCCATGAATATTTTTCTAGATCCGCCCCTGCTGAGCAGGCCTGCTTTAAACATGGTCATGGCCAGTTGACATTACTAAACTATCTGGCACAGTACATCTACAACTAGGATAGTAGGCTACTGTAAACCAGCTCAATTCGCTTGTTCATACTTAGAAGAAAGTAAAAATGCCCTGTTATCATTTCATACGGGACTAACCTGATTCAGAGAGTTCCTCATCGGGGGGTAAGAATCGGGCGGTGCCACCAAAAGGCTGCGGTGCATCTTCCCCATTGTCCTCGTACACATTGGACCACTTTATAGCCATGTCCATGCCTGGGGGAGGTCCCTTCTTCCTCTCTGGCTCTGAAGAGTAGCTCTCAGGAGGGGGCACAGCATTTGTCTTCCATGGCTTGAACTCTCTGGCAGGCTTCAAAAAAAGATGTACAAAACTGACTAAGGGAAAGACTCAGAACAATTCCTGAACTAGACACCACATTTCCGATAGGTTTAAACGTTACGTAGTTACAAGCGTAAAGCCACTTAAAATATCATCAGCTCTGCCTTAGCTATGGAGTATCGATTATAGTAGTAACACAGCTAACTACATTTTCGCTAACTAACTAGTGTTTTTACCTCTTCAGGAGCTTTGACCGTCAGACTCTCCCAGTCTATCTCCTTGTTGAGCGGGTTGTAGAGAAAGGCAGGCTTGGACACGGAGCCGAACAGCTCTTCAGGTTTGGGTAACGGAGCTCCACCGGCGGCTCGTTTGGTCCCGTGTTGTGAGGACTGTGCTCCCACGCCATGAGCGTCTGTCCCCGGCTTCTTCTTCCGACTTTCCCCCTCCTCGTCGGAGTCGCTGCCATCGCTGCTGTCGCTCAGGTCATCGTAGCTCGAAAAGAAACCCAAAGAGCCCGTCTTCTTTTCTTCCGTCATTGTGCAGGAGCTACTTGTTTTCTAATGAGTAACAACCTGTTTGTGTTATAATAAATAAAAGAGTAGTAAAAAGCTGTATGTTTATATTTGTGTCAGTAAGCTTTACTCCATTTTGAATGAGCCTCCAAAAGAGTCGTAATGTTTTTTCGCTAGTGTCGTAACGACTGTCGCAAAGCTGTTTCATTAAAGGAGCAGCCCGAGTTATTAACCAAAACCAGAGCATTGGAGCTTACCAGCGCCATATAGAGAGAATTATATAACATGGCTCTGGAGCTTACTAATGGCATTGAGTCCGTACTTTTGTTAAGATGCAAATTGTTATTTTTTTTGCAGAATTTGTAACTTCACTTGTTGCATGGCCTTTTGTTATCCGTGCTTTATTTTTTTTACAAACAGCCACTTTGTATGTTTTTTCTTATTTGATTGTGTTTCTTAAACCATAGAAGAAGGCAGTGATATACTGCACTGTACTGTACTTTGCTTTTTACCTTACTAAACGGACAAAATATCTTCGAGCGAGGGGAGGGGCGAAACTGTCGGAAGTTAATTCATAACAAAAGCCCTCGTTTGCTGAAAGACACTTGATGATAGATAGCATTTCTGAGATATCTTTGGAATGACAACAGAGAGGCCTTTATGAGACAGGCTTTAATGCCCTCTCAGAGCCTATTTGATAAGACTAGATTTATAGCCTTTCTAGCAAGGTAAAGTTAGAAAGATATTCACAAACTTAAAAACAAACAAAATAAATATTACAGTTCTTGCACAACATACAAAAAAAAATCAGATTTATTTCAATATTATATTTGTTGGTAAATTGTATAGCCTACAACCCTGTTCATCTAAAGGCCAGCATGATCAGGTCGGGAAGTGTAACAACATTTTTGGACCACTAGAGTGCAATATAGTCACACTATTGTGCCATACCAAAAAGAAGTAAGGCACTGAGAGGAACTTAAAAACAATTCTGCATTGGCCTAAACATTGTCCACTCTGGTTTGCAACTATACTTTAAAAAAAAGCAATTCCTTGAAGTAATGGCTGTAATTATTATTAAACCTTTATTTAACCAGGTGGTCCCATTGAGATCATCGATCTCTTTTTCAAGGGAGACCTGTCATTCTCTTACCTCATTAGACTGCCTTTAAATCACTTAAGGATTCAGAGTGTCTATAACTTTTTTCAGGTTACACAACCTCTTCTGTTTATTAAGAGCAGTTCAGAAAACCAAAAATGTCTGTCTGCTAGACTTGGAGAGGCCAGTTTTTGCCTTCCTGAACAGATCAAACACAGACTAAAAAACACAGGATAGACAGGTAAACATAAATCTAGTATGAAAACTGCTTGTAATCTTGCTTTCCATTCTTCATTCTCTTTCTTTTTCGCTTCAAAATGATCAATGCCGACAGGCAAGGCAGGCAACTGCTTGGGTCCCCGGACCAGAAGGGGGCCCCCAATTAAATTGGATTAAGAAGGTCCACATTAACAACAACATCAAACACCCTTTAATTTACTGCAACGACATGTCGGGAAACCCCCTCAAGGCGGCCCGATGCATATCGTAAAATGCTGCTTCTTATCTTAAGATTTGTTGCCCCTTGAGGGGGGGGGGGGGTGCTGTTGGCTGTGCGTGGTGATGAAAAGTTGATTTGAGGGGCCCCCAGTGAATGTTTGCCTAGGGCCCCCACATTCTCTAGAATCGCCACTGATGATTACTATACAGTTGCTGCAATTAAGATGTTTTGGGAGTTTTAGGTGAATTTGAGGTCAGATCTTCACAGATTTACTGGAACTCCAGTCCTGAAAGATCCTGGAGGTAAAAGTTAATGTGCGGGAAAAGTATTTCACAACCTCTTGCTTGCTCTTGATTGTCCTGATATTCTCTGAGTGACTAGACTGGGTGTCCTGCTATCACCCTGAAGTGAAATACGTCTTTGATACTGGAGAGTTTTTGTTTTATTCTTATCTAAAAACAGAGGGACAATAGCTATACAGTATGAGACTTCAAAGGTCTTTTATTTTGAAACTCTACTTCAGATTGTCCTGATTCTCTCTGAGTGACGGGGTGTCCTGCTATCACCCTGAAGTGAAATACGTCTTTGATACTGGAGAGTTTTTGTTTTATTCTTATCTAAAAACTTTGAAAGAATGTTGAACTTGTTGAACTTACACAGCAGTTTTCTCCTCTTTGTCATATTTCAGAAAAAGCTATTTAAACTGTGAGATTGACCGACAATGACATTTCTCTTTCAGCCAGAGCTAATGGTTAAATGAAACCTTCATTGTCTTATGTTGGTTCTTTCTTTAAATCTGTACAGTCTTAATAAACTGTTCACGGATTTGACGACTCATTCTTGTAACCATCTCCCAGAGATTGTACCATGACTCAGCCAAGCTGCAATTAAACATTTGAAATATTAAATTTATTCACAGCTTTAGGTTTTAAGATGAATGTGTCTTAAAACAATTGAGGTTGTTAGATCATTCCACTTGTCCCACAACCGTTTCCCTTGTTTTCCTAAATGGAAAAAAGACCTGATGTGTACAGTTTGGTGCACACAAATCAAGTAAAATCAACTTAATTCGGAATTATTCTTGTAACATGTCATTAGTTATACCCTTCTTTGTGTTTTCCCTCCTACTTCTCCAATACATTGGCTTCTCTTAGGACACTTTGAGACATTTTCTGAAGAATGAATGTTATCTTGTTAAGCATATTTTTTGCTTTTCATCATAAGAGCAGTGCAATGTTCTGGAAAATAGTTTAATCCAGTAGGGAGAATGTGTTCTTTAGTTGGTACAATAAACCCTTCCTTCCTTCAGCTTTTTTCTTCTATCTCCACAGAGCTTGACCATGGTGTGAGAAATTCCCCATAGGGATGAAAAGCCACACCTCTCCAAGTCTCTGTTTAATCTAGCCATTCATAATATCTTAAATGTCTTTATTTTATCCAACAGCTTAGCAACAGGTCAGGACATATCTAAGGTAAGCATTTGAGTGGGTGGTTTACTCAGTGTTAGCCCATACACCAGTAGTAAGATCTATTTTGTTTTACTTATCTACAATTACCACGAAGGATTTCTATACTCATTTGAGACAAGGACATTTTACTCAATAATCACAATGAATTGGCAGAATGCATCAGATGTTATACCCTTGTATGCTAAATGTGCTTTTTTTGGACTGCACATTAGGTGACTGAGTATTTTGGATCTTGATTGTGGAAATCCTGTTTACGTCTAAGATAATTAAACCCACAGTCCATCTTGAAGTCGGCGAGCAACACCTGGATAATTAAATAAGGGGTGCTGTTGTGTTGTTAAACCCAGATGGATTTTTTCATTCTCTTTTCATCAGACAATAATGTAAGCAGCTATTTATCTGCATATAATTGTTTGTGATTGTTGACATTTATTACGAAATTGGTAAGGAATTCACCTTTCAATCTTTTGAGTCACAGTCTTATTCACACTTATTAATGCAAACTAGAAGAGTTTTAAGTAGACGCAACCACTGGCTGATGCTGCTGAGGTGACCTTTGACCTGAAGCTCTATTGATGTAGCGGGATGACACAGGAGGTAGAACATTACACTTAAAATGGTTAATGAGGAGCAAGTTGATGTCAAGATCATTGCCTGTATTCATTGGAAGTGCACATTTGTATATTTGGGGGGAGGTTTTTGTTCTTTTGAGAAGTATGTATAGCCCAACTAGCATTTCCATGCAAGCAATTTTGTTATATTCCACTTGATTCATGTCTGTTACACCCTGGAGCAGCCTGATAAAACTAATAGACTTAACTGTGGCTTTTAATATTCATGATATTACATTTATAGTCTCATTTTACATGCAGCAATGCAACACACAACTATGCTACGGAAAAAAACTGTCAAAGCAACACCTGTGTAAAATAAATATTCATGCTCACACTCTCTTCCAGCATTACTTTATATATATCTGTCATCAATCCTTTTATCATTTTTTCCATCTCTTTTCCATTTGAATCCAACAGCGATATGATAAACTGGAAAATGGCCGAGGTGGAAACAACATGTGGTGTCACGAATGGTCTTTTTTTCACCCTTTTTTTTCCTCCTGAGACTCAGCTGAAGTCAAGAAGCAACATTCATGTTTAAACATGTATTTTTATATTTATACATGGTGCATGTGCCTTAGCAAAATGTGCTAATGCATGTTTGCTTCACTTCAACTTCATTCTTTAATGCATGTGTTCTCTATGCATCATGTTCATCTTTCTCCCTACTTTTCCTTTGATTCCCCTTTCTTTACTCCTGTTCTCAATGTATCAAGAATGCTTCCATTGCCTCTTCATAACACATGCGCCCTACACCACTGTGTTTTCTCTGGTCACCGAACACTTTTCAAACTTGATAGGTGGCATTCTTTCGCTCATTACATTAACTCTCGGCTCTGTTTGCACCGTGGCCTGTCGGGGCTCGTGGTTGGAGGCCGGATCTGACTGAAGTGGCAAAATGACTGAAAGTGAGAGAAAAAAAGAGAGATAAAAAAGAGACAAGCTGGTTACTGCTGGGAGAAGGTGTGGGAGATCTGGGTCAAAAGGACAGTTTGGGGGTGAGAGGGGTGGGATGTTGTGTGGGCAGAGTTGGGTGTTGGGGGTGATCATCCCCATCACATGTTCCACGGTGTCCTGCGGTGTGGATGGCTGTGGACTAAGCATAAACATCTTACTCAACCCTATGCCCTTCCTGATGCTCTCATTTGCACCGCAACCTCCACAACATGCCCATACACATACACTTACACACACAACTTAAGATCTCGTCTGATCTCAGAGCAGTTCATTCATACAAAAGTGAATGGCAGTTTCTTTTGCCGCTCTTCGGTTTATGATGGAATGTCAGAATGATAAATGATTACTGTATGAGGTAACCACAGTGTCAGTTTTTGATTATGGGTCTTCTTTGTGTGCATGTTCAACTACGTCAAAACATGCAGGGAAATATAGCAAACCGCAACTAACCCTCTAGGTTTAAATATGTAACATTTTAGCTGCATTCACATGTTGTCTTTTGAAAGTCGAAGTTGTGGTTCTTTGGAGGATTTTATGTTATGATGGTGCCATCTGTTCCAATTTGAAATCATTAAATTCAGATGATC